AAAGACCATTCCTAATTTAAAGGCCAAGTTGAAAAACAGTGCCAGATTGCTAGGAAAGGAAACAGCAAAGCCTTAATAAACTTTTGGGGGCTGGGGGAAACTGTTTTGTAAGTAAAGGCTTTAAGTCTCAGTTAGCTCAAAAGAGATGCTGCAGAAAGAATTAAAAAGAAATAAGCATAGCTGACAGGTTGTAAAAGGAATAAAATTTTACTTCCACAACAAGAACTGAGCATGTAACAAAAGTTACACTGGTAAAAGTAATCACATGATTTAACAGGTAGGCTAAAACCTGGTCTCAGTCTACCTAGAAACAAGATGACCAGTCAACATCTTCTTGCCTTACTTATCATCAAAGCTATCCTCTGCCACTGAACTCAAGATCATGATTACTCAGAGTCAGGACAAGCCCTGTTTCCCTGTATCTAAAACAGAGAACAGGGCTGAGCCCCATCAAGGGAGCCATAGCTCACAGCTCATTTTTTAATGTACTATTTACAATATTTATTATTTGCAATTACGTATTATTTACATTCATTGTCTCATCTACAATTTACAGTATAATCCTGTTCTGATCCTGTACATTTTTCATGCCTGTAATATATATTTGTAGATGTCTTACATTCGATGTTTGTTAGATGTTATTTTAAGGCATTAGGTGAAAAGTTGTATTTTCAATATATTTCTTTGAGGCAGATTTTCCACCCACTCCCACAACCATTTCCTTGAATTCATTGGCCTACTGGTAGGAGGGGAGAAGATGTGGATCAGACATCAGGGTCTTGGGTGCCCCATTCCCCAAAAGCCCTTGTCATGAATTTCCCTCACCCTCCTCTGCCTCTTCATGCTAGAGCAATTCATCTGCCCACAAAGACATTTTCCCACACGTTTTTGTGTAAAAGTTAATAAAAGATAAATAATTAAGACACCAGAATGTTAGGGGTCTTAAGAATCAGACTGCAGAATTGCAATTATGAGTTATATATATATCTACATTTCCTAATGCACATTGTCAGCACTTACACTGCTTTTTTCATTAATTTCCTCATCCTCCTTTCACAGAGAATGGAACTGAAACATACAAATAATGGAACTGATCAATCAAAAATCCACCTGAAATACACTAACAATTGAAGTCCATGCCCAGCAGGACCACTCAGATGACTACACTTAATTATAGGTTTCTATGCTTGTCTCAATCAGAAACAGATTTGCTTGCCCAAAGGCAACCCACATCTCTCAATTGCCATTTTGGTTCTACCACACTGTCACACAATTTGCAACAGAGATTAATTTGCTTCTTTGCCTATTAAGCTGTTTCATACAGAAACTTGAGTTTCAGCTGTTAATACCAATATTAGTAAAAAATCAGAATATTCCATCAGCTTTACGGGGATCATCTCAGACTGAAATCACAAACTCTTCAGAGAAGAGTCTTTCTGCATCTTCTCTAGGATAAATCAAATCATTACATCACTCCCCAGAAACTCTGTAACAAACAGTATGCCACTTACTACTCTAAGAGAGCTATCACTGATCAAAAGCCTAACTAAAAATAATAGTTTCCCTTTATTTTGCACATATCTTCATATCGCACCTCCTTTTCACTTCCTCTTTTTGCCTCTAAAGGCAACTGAAAGAATGCTCAAAACTTATACAGTTTTCTCTTTCAAACAGTTTCATTCACAGAAGAAGAATCTTTTTTAGGAGAACGTTTCATATTTTCCAGGACTTAACCTGGACACAACTATTTGGGTTGGGGAAAAATGACTATTTCTCTACCTCCAATATGTAAATTTGCTGGAACACACAGAAGAACACTCTCAGTTTGAACAGCTCCAGCATTTCATTCCAGCCATTTCACCTCTGTCCTGGGCTGACTTTGTGCTGCCTGTATCCCCAGTGTCTGTTCTGTTGGTGTTGGATGTTGGGTTCTGCACTTTAAGGCTGGTTCCAAGGGTGAGGGGGGAGAGAGGAGGCAGAGTTTGTTATCACAGACTGCCCTTGCTCCCTGCATCCTTCCCCCTGACTGTGCTGTCTGCACTGGGCAGCAGCTCAGAGCTCTCCTTTGCTCTTGGCAGTTTCTGACTCGCTGAGGCAGACAAGTTCCCTGGCCTGTGCTTTTTCCTTTTTCTTGGAACTGTTCAAACCTGCTGTGGACTGCAAACCCAGAGGAGCCCCAGGAGCTCCCAGCTGTGTCCCACCAGGCCTGGGCTGGGCTGTGACATTTCCCAGGGATGGAGGGACTGAGAACAGCCTGAGAGAGCCGGGCTGCAGCCACGGAAGGGACTCTGCTGAATTTGTCATCTCCGCAGAGCACTGAGAGGTTCTGCTCTTTAGTATTGCTCATTTTTGTGCTGGGGAGTGCTTTGCCTGTTAAATAAACAGCTTTTTTCCACTTCTCTCTGAGGAAATATTTTCTTGAACCAGCTGGGGGAAGAGCCACTTGAGTCTCTGTCCTAGAGAGACCCAATTCAGAGGTTTCCTCAAATTTGCCCTAAACCAGGACAAGACAGAGAATGTTCTGCAGGGAGCTTTTATGTAAGCTCAGAGCCCTGATACATGCTGCCAAAGGTGGCAGGCAATACTGTCACTGTGAAAACCACATGCCAAAGAACATACAAACTCTCTTTTTTCCTGTACTAGGGAATCCTCAGCAGTGAAAGCCTGCTAGGGCAGGGGTCTTCTAACGTGGCTCCACGTGCAGCAATCATCCTGCCAGGTGACACAGGTCCTGCCCTGCCCAGAGGCTCCAAGGCCACACTGGAGCAGTGGGGCACAGCACAGATGACCTGCTCAATGTGGTACAGACTAACCAGAGCAGAGCAGTCCTGAAAGGACCACATCTTCCAGGCTGCAATAGCTGGTCCAAGAGGATACAGCAATTTTGAAACTAAGCACTAACTTCCAGGCTTTTCTCTCCTCTGGGAGTGTCATGTTGGACAAGATGGTTTTTTGTCAGTCTCTGTGGGAGAAAGTATTACTTCTGTCTTAGACATAGCAGTCTCCCATCTATTGCTCTAAGTTCTATACTGGTTTTACTCTATGGCAAGATAAAAATCAAAACTGAGTATCTCCTGCTGCCAGGAAAAGGACCTGGCACACAGCCAGACTGTAAAGTAAGTCACCTCTGCTAATTAAAGGGAATCCATACAGCTGCCAGCACACTGCTGACATTTAACAAATAACAGGAACAAGAAGGGAAGAAGACAACAGGGCAGCCTCAGACTTCCATCCCAGCTGACAGCAAAGGCCTTCAGTCTTCTCACGACCCAAGGGCTGATGAGCTTTATTGAAGAGGGTGATTTTCCTGAGCCACCTTCCAAGAAGTTTTACATTAGAGGCAATCCTCAAACACAGGGCTGCTCCTGCGAGCATGAGCAAAAAGCATTTCTGTTATAGGAATTTTAAAAAGCTTTATGTACCTAACTCCAGTCTTCATATTGTTTAGTCATTTCATACAGTGAATGTTTGTTTATTTCTTCCCATGAACATCTATCTGTTCATATGAATTTTGTAAGTTCCACCTCTTTTACACCACTCCTAAGTTCCTAAACTACAGATGGACAACTCCAAGGAGAAAAAACAGAATACCCAAGACATCTTCACCATTAGCCCTTCAAAGCTACTTTCAGTATCAATGGTCTCAGTCCAAATCCTGGCAAACACATCTCAGACTTCTTCCCTACAGCTCCAACCACCAGCCTGTGAAAACTCACCACAACACCTCATCAGTGTGGCTGCAATTAACTGCATGGAATAGCAACTGGAATTATTAATATATTTAGGTCATTGCAGTCCTTAGATGAATGGCTTTAATATGATTTGTCCATAATACACAAACCTGGAGTCAGGGTATCAAAGGAAAAACAATTGCTATCTTAAAATGAAAAAAAATCAATGCTGCTTTCCTGGACACTTAATTTGGGAATCAGTGAAAATTAAGCTACTTGTTGTATCATAAAAGATAAGAAATAAATCTTAGGTGGTCTCCAAAAGCCTCCCTGCTCTGACTCCTAAACTGGCCTTGGCCAGGTAAAGAATGAACTAAGATTAGAGACCCACTTCCCTTATTATTTACAGTAAAGTCAGCTAGCACTGCAGATCCAGACTGAAGCTAAATGAGATCATAATCATTTGCCTCTAAAAACAGCTACAGAAGACAGAGAGAAAAAGGGAGACACTAATATGCACACTTAAACACTGATTAAAGCACAGTAAAGAAAAAACATAGAAGTCTCCACAATAAAAATGTTTCCAACCCTTCTTTAATACACATGTTAATCTCAAGTCATATAAATGTCTTTCTTGCCGAATTAACATATTGTAGCAACTCAGTGCTTCTACCCCATGTGACATTGTCCCTTAATTTAGACCTTATTTAAATACATTGTAAAGCTATATCCAGAATTTCATTCAGTAAAAATACAAAAAAATCCCAACATCATTTTAAAACACTTCACAAACTTATGTTAGAATACTTAATGAAGGGGGAAAAAAAAAAAAACTAAATTCAAAGTGATTTATCCTGTCTTTGATACTCAGCTTGGGCAGTTAAATACAAAAGTGTTTTATTTGGCCACTTTAGCAGTTTCCACAAAGTTAATGAAAGACTTGCTATATTACTAATCAGTATCAACACATTAAATGCCTCCTCATAGTTACACAGCTTTAGCTGTATATCTCTGCATGTACATGATCACAGAGAGGAAAACCACAAGTCCATCCATTGGAACCACTCTGATGTATTTAATGAGAAATAAGCATTGGGGAGTATTGAAAACCTACCCAGAAACACTTCCCTAAATTCCTTTGCAACAACCTGACAGCGCACACACATAAAAAATCTCATCTATATTTCAAGAATTAATTCCAAGAAATAGAAAAAAAAGAAAGTAACGTTTGAGTAAGACCACCATTACAGGGAATCACTTAAGCATCACAGCTCTTCTGAGCTCATGCAGACACAAGTGAGATAACAACATTGAGGATGTTTCTCTCACCTTGGAATAAAAATGCTTTGCTGGCATTGTGTAGTCCTGACACTTGTGTTACCCCCAGGGTTGTATTCACCAGATCCAGCTCTGTGATGATATCAATTTGTAAGTCAGGATCCATTCCAAATCCTACAGCTGTTGGAGGCAGAGAGAGTTAGGTCAATTTTTATTTCAAATCAGGTAATGACAAGAATAGAGAAGAATATCTAGCACAGACATTTCTACTACCTTCCCACTCACACACACTGTACACAGTAATTACTTATAAGACAGTAACTGTGCTGCAGGAAAGAGAAGATATTCTATTTCAAGTCTTTCAATTAAACTATTTCCTCCCCAGAAATTTGACTATGCACGTGTTAAAACATTCTAAAAGTGATGCGTTTATCCAGTATCTTCACAAGGTTAAAAAGTAATAAATAAAGAAAAGCATAACCACTATGCAAAACAGTAAGAGAGATTTGCAGCATTCATCTCTTGGCCACACAATATTTCCAGGGAGATACAAGGACTGAAAATTCCTCTCACATTTCCTACCTAGCTGGGACCAACTGACCAGGCCCACAGCTCATCACCTAAATGTAATCCATTTTCCCAAGTGGACCCAAGGACCCTGGAGCAGGTATGGTAGCAGGGCAAAGAATGCCATCCTGTAGACTAAGAGCCTTGGGTGACTCAGCCAAGGTGTTTGACATTGCTTCTGAAGCACAACTATCTCGTTGTCAAAGCCCACCTACAAACAGCACACATTCACTCACCCAAAGCAGCTGCAGCACACCTGGGCTGCAGGAGCACCGACTGGAAAAGCACAAATCTAAACCTGAAATTCTTAAAAGGCTTATGCCCAGGAAAAGCCTGGGTGGTCTTCAATCTAATAAGGACCTGATGGGATTGACATAAAAGACACAGTCTTCAAAAGTTTGAAAATGCTATGTTGAAGGGCTCAGGGCAACTTGATGGTTAGGACACCAAATATACCTCCTTTTTTCTAGAGATGGGAAGAGGGCAGCCTGACCTCAGTGTTTCTCTCAACACAGCAGTAAGAGTGACATAAGATCTGTGCCTGAAACACAGGTCAAATATCTCGTGTGGAATCTAAACACTTTCCTAATTAAATTTTTCACTAACATCATTAGTAACAAGAACAGGCTCCAAGAAGGAAATCCTGACACAGCTGAAGTCAATGGTAAAAGTCCCATTGACTTCCATGGAGCAAGGACATTACCTGTAAAGCACGTCCAGATTGATTTCCACTAAGTAGACTTCACTTTCAGGTCTAAATTGATTGATTTGTTATTCCAGGACTATACTTCTGGATCATTTAAGCAGCAAGTACTCTCGTTTGATTCTTTGAAAGGCTCTGAGAAATTACTGAGGTGTACAGAACGAACAAGAAGTTACATATACTACTCATAAATCTTCTGTACTCTAGCACTTTCTCTTTTCCTCAAGGATGAAAAGTTGTTAGAATAACATGTTGTGGTATTGTAAAGGATTCTACTCCACAAGGGACAGAGCATTAAAAATACTGAAAATACAGCTTTAGGAGTCTCTAGCAATCTTACTCTACAAGGAAAACTAAGATTTAGAGGCATCTGATGAAACTGAAGCTCCAAGAGTGCTGAAACATACACACATACACAGTGCTTTCATAAGGATATGGGGATAAACACCTTTTTGTAGAAAATTGGAATGGGGAGAGTATTAGAGAACCCAGATAAGCTTCTCGAAAGATAAAAACTTCCCAGATAATCAGCAACATCATCAGGCTTTTGGTACTATCTTTGCCTTCCACCCTAGGCACTCAGCACTGAATGACCACAACTGACACTGTCCACGCTGGTGGACCAAAAACACCTTCCCCTCCTGAAACAAAGACCAGCACCAAAACAAGAAAGGACTTGTTATTCTTCTAAGGTTTTCATTCAGCAGGAGAGGAGCACAATGTAAATTGTGCGAACTTACCTATCAGCAAAGACAAGTGTTTGCCATCCCTGTGAGAAACAGGGCAGACTGTCCCTCATTAGAAAGGGGTTACATCTATTCAGCTCAGCAATAATCTACTAATATGAAGGGAGGTCAAGTAGGTACTAAAACTTGCTCAACAGAAAGGACAAACGGCGTTCAGTAAGAGAAATCTCAACCCCATTAAAGTAAGTGAAAGCTCGGTCACAGCCATCAACAGGGTGGGGACAGAAACCACAGCGAGCAAGTATAGGCACTCCCATAAATCACAGTAGCTCCTCTGCTCTATTAAAGCTGTTTATTCCAGCCTGAATACCCAAGACTCAACAAGTATACATCACTGTAGCTCCACAGGCTTCGATTTATGCCAACAAAGGATCCTGTGTGACAGCTTCAGTGTGTTCCGTTCCAGCTTTTAAAATACTTTGGAAAACAGAGACCATTTCTAACGTCACAGTAAGTATTTAGCAAGAGTCTACACTGCTTTAAATACCTAGACATTTTCCTGAGCTGGGTGTTCAAATGGCAGCAGGCACTCAAACGCCTAGTTAATAATTAATAAACAACAAATCAGCAGCTTCAGTATGATAACCAAGCCTCCTTTTCCCCCTGTGGTCTCCCCCAATCTATCAGAAAGATACTACAGGCATATCAACCACACTTGCATCTAGTATTTTATGCTGTCTCTCTCCAGTGGAAAAAACAGCTGGAAATACCATCTCTTCCCGAAGTAAAAATTAAGCATCAAACCGGCTGCTTTCACTGGAGAGCTGTGCAATGCCTGGGCCCGATTCTGGATGATGTTGCTTTCAATTCCTATTTAAAGTAATTGGGCCATTCCCCTTATATCAGTGGCTTACACAAGCAACACTCCAAATGCTTCAGGCAGGTGGGTGGGAGTAGAAATCATCTCACAACTTGGTGGATTCAGCCCAATGTGAATGGAAGGCACTACAGTAGATTAGAGGATTAAGCCATATAATTATGAATGATGTCACCAGGAAATCCCTAAAAGAAATTAATTCTGCCTTACAGCTCTGACAGCTTTTATTCTCTGCTTCCGCCTTTATCACTTACACCCAAGCACCAGCAATCATGCCATGCTCCATCTAGCTAATGTGCAGCCATGCAACATATGCAGCACATTCATAATCTCCTCGACATGTGTAAGTGCTATTCGGGGATGGAAAAACTTTTACTTAAAGCACACTCAACACAATCAATCCATTTGCACATACCCACGTGAAACCATTCAAATGGTAAAGAAGAGGCTCTAGAAGAAGCATTTTGCTCTCTCCTCTCACAACTTCGATGGCAATTGTTGCACACAGAGAACTTTCCGAGTAGTAGAGTTTTGGGTACTGTTGACCATTTAAAAATCTCTGTATGCACTATTAAGGGTAACACCGCTATGAAAGGGATGGGCGGTATTCTCTTCCAACTATTTTTATCCCGCATCTCTCTGTAGATTTTGATGAGGTTATAATTACTATAAGAATGTAATTATAAAACGTTAATTCTTTTGCACTTTTGGTAATTGTGCCGGGTGGTTTCCCCGAGAAGAGCTGCGTGCACTACGGAGGAACGTGCCCCTCAGCACGAGGGAAGGAGCGGTACCCGGGGACCAAGAACAAAGCCTTCGCAAGGAACAAGAAGCGGTCCTCGGGTCGCGCAAGGCTGGCGAGATAGCGGAGCCGGCACGGCAGCGGCTGGAATAACGCGCTGGCAGCAGCAGCATCACACCCGCACCGCGGGCAGCACCGCCCAGCACAGCCCCGGGGCCGCAAGCCGCGCACCGCCCGCCCGGACCGCGCCGGCCGCCGCTGCTGCGCTCCCGCGGGGCGCAGCCCGCACGCCGCTCTCGCAAAACTTTCCCATGCCTGTCCTCAGCCCCCGCGGAGCGGCCGCCTCACCGGAGACGAGCCCGGCTGCGCCCCGCGGAGCCCCGCTCGGTACAGAGAGGGATGCTCGGCACGGCGAGGGATGCCCGGCTGCGCCCAGCGGAGCTCCGCTCGGTACAGCGAGGGATGCCCGGCCCCGCCGCGGCGGCGGCCGGCACGACCGGGGCGGCTCCCGATGCCGCCACCTCCCCGCAAAGTTTCCGCCCGCCGCCGGCCCTCTCTCCCCGGGGAGGCGGCCGGGGCGGACCCCGACCCCGCCACGGACCCCGGCTCCGCTGCCCCAGCCCAGCCCCTCACCTGCCCCGGCGGCGGCCGCACACGCCCAGAGGAGCAGGAGGAGACCCATCGGCGCGGCGCGGGCGGCGGCGCCCGCTCGCTCCCTCCCTCCCTGGCCGCCGGCAGCTGCTGCGGAGCCGCACCGAGCCCAGTGGAGCCGAGCGCAGCCTCCGACGCGCGGAGCGGCTCCGGCAGGAGGCGGCGGCGGCTCCGCCCGCTGCCCAGGCGCGGCCCCGACGCCCCCGCAGCGGGGGCTCCCCGCCCGCCCCCCGCCGTGACGCGCGGCCCCCCCGGGCCTCGCCAGCGCCGCCGCCCGGCCACGGCCGAGCTCCGAGCGGAGCGGACCCGCTCCCCGCAACGGGAACCCCCCGAGAGAGAGAGGGACCCCGGTGCGGGAACCCCCCGAGAGAGAGAGGGACCCCGGTGCAGGAACCCCCCGAGAGAGAGAGGGACCCCGGTGCGGGGAGCCCCGCACTGCGCACCGCCCCCGCTCCCCAGAACGGGGACCCCCCCGAGAGAGAGAGAGGAACCCGGTACGGGAACACCCCGAGAGAGAGAGGGACCCCGGTGCGGGAACACCCCGAGAGAGAGAGGGATCCCGGTGCGGGGAGCCCCGCACTGCGCACCGGCCCCGCTCCCCAGAACGGGGACCCCGGCACGGGAAGCCCCGCACTGCGCACCGGCCCCGCTCCCCGCAACGGGAACCCCCCGAGAGAGAGAGAGGAACCCGGTACAGGGAGCCCCGCACTCCGGAACGGGAACCCCCCGAGCGAGAGGGTCTCGCCGCCCCACTGCGTCTCGTCCGAGCGGGTGCGAGATGCGGCCGATCCGGGGCACCTTCCCCTTCTTCTCGGCGTGAGAATCAACCCTCATTAACTATTTACTCTTAGTAATAATTTATGCCATGTATGAATAAACAAAAAGAAGTTATGAGGTATGATACAGAAACCTGCGCCGTTCCTCGGCTTCTTGCGTGTCCTTGCTCAACTCCCTTAACTGTTCTTTCATGACTTTAACGTGTAAAAGAGAGGTAAAGTATTTAAAGATACTCGTGAGCCGTATGAGAATCTGCTCTGGTAGCTGTTCTAAAACCTGTCTTCAAGTATTTCTTCTCTCCAGCCTTTTAATTTGGCTCGCTGCTTGCCAAGGAATACACTAGCACATGCGTCGGTTATATGCAATACTCTTCCCTGCAGAACACCTGATTTAATTTTGAAGGACAGTTTAGTGGCCCCTGATGATGTTCCCACCCCACCAAACAGGAGCAGATTGAGATTTCCAGATTTGGTCTATAGTTGCAAGCCCTAGGATCATCCTCTCTGCTGCTTACCCTCATCGTGATTTTGTGCTGCACAGTGCAAATTCCAGCCATCTTAAATGTTAAATAAGCTGTACATTTGGACAAAGTTAGGATGACACCATAAAAATCATGCCCATCTTAGGGGTGCAGTTGCATTCATACACATTTACATTGGCAAGAGCAAACAGTCTGACTTGGTTGCCTAATTACTTAATTAGCGAGATGTCTGGAAACAGCTGTTCCTGGCTGCCAGCAAAGTAATGCACTCCAGGAAACCTCTGGGGTGGCCACTCAGAAAGCACATCAGTAATTTATCTCCAGTGTATCAAAACAACTTTTTTCCTTCGAATGTAACTTTGCAGCTTCTTCCCTTTGGCTAGGGCGCCCCGCTCTCAGCCACGGGGCGAGAGGAGGTGCGAGCACACGGTGCACAGGCGTGTGTGGGTATGCACAGACACTCTGTATAACCATAGCAACAGGAGAAAGAGGCAGTGGTACCTCAGCACGTGAAGACACACCCCTCTATGCCATCCTGATAACATCAGGGTTCTGCATAGCAGTTACTGTCTGATTTTAGAGATTTCTTTTTGGGGAACAGGTCTGTATATCCAATTTCTGTTAGCTTAGATCTGTTTGTGCTTATCTGGTAGTAAAACCAGTGTCTATCTAGACACCAAATTGAATCTAATTCAAGTTTTCCGTTTTCCACTTGATGCAGAGTCTTAAGTGGATATACAATTTAAACTGGTCATAGATTCTCAAACTGATCTGTTTAACCTAAGCCTAGATTAAATGCTGTTTATAAAAAATTACTGCAGGTATATGAAAAAATTTGCACCACGTTATGAGCTGTAAAGCACAGTTTCAAAGATATGTTGAGCAATCTCATGGAAAGGAATATCCTAACCATAACTGATTTATTCTTCTGTTCACCAGAAGCATCCAAAAGCCCACAGGTACTGCAAAAAGTAACACAAGCAGCTCGGTAAAAACTGCTCTGAAAAAAGCTGGTCCCACAGTTGTGACTCTTCCTGTAGTTCAGCTCAATGCCCAAATGATCCCACATTTGGAGAGCACATGTTCAGCTGTTCATATGGAGAAAGGATAGGGAAAATGGATTGAAAACAAAAAATCCCCTTCTCGCAGCCAACACTATTCTTACACCTCCTCTAATGGCAAAAAATAATCTCCCTTTATCACCAGAAAATTGGACCTTCTGATATGTTCTTATGGGAAATATAAATAGCTGAAAAACCTGACTTCCAGATAAGAATTTAAACTGTGTTCCTGAGTATTCATAGCAATTTTTAAAAAAATCTGAAGGTACTTTTGCAAGAGTGAATCATTTGTCCTGGAAACTGAGCTGGATTTCAGCTCAGATAATATGCCTGTGAATAGTGTTCTTGCACTCTCCGTTGGTCACTGAATGCATTTTGATTTTGACCTAAATTATTGTGAAGTTGCTAAGTGTGTGGTGTGAAACTATTAGTCCTGCCAGCCAGCAAAGCTTGTGACATTTTATAGATTGAGGAAGGATTTTGAGTAGGCCCAGTGTCTCTCTGAGCAGTTGTAGGGCTGTCTGCGTGCCACAGCTAAAATGCAATTAAAACCACTATTACTTCAAGAATGTCTGAGTATGTGTGGACTCAGCCGCACTGCAAACGCTGGGAAACAGCAGTGCTTCCACCTGGGGAAAAAAAATAAAAAACAAAAATAAAAGAAAATAAAAACAAAGCCCAGCACTCGTAGCTCATGGGGTAGAAAACCTCCCCAATTCACAAATAAGGCTTGCGTCCCGGGAAATCCTGGCTCCACGGGAACACTTGCGATCCCAAAGTTTGCTTTGCCGCCAGTAGAGGGCAAGAATTAGGAGCAGCACTTACACCTGAACACTGTGACCCAGACAGGTGGAAAGGAAGGGGGGATTACTGTGTGACATACTTGCCTTATCCACTGACAAATACTCGTTAAGGACTATATAATCAGTTCAGAAGGCTAAAAGTATCCACTTTAGGGTTTAAGTAACTAACAAATCGATCAGAGTGAAGCCTTACAAAGAAAAATCATTTGTCTGCCTCTGTACACAGTCATGGAGCTATGTTTTAAATTTTATTTTTAATTCCCAAACACATAGTTAGCTAATGTTTGAAGACTGAGAAGTCTAAACCAAACTTTACAGCCGATTAATCCATTTGGTACAAGATGTGCCCTTCAACCTTCACAATGACTGTAGGAATTTCAGCACCAAAAGAGTAAAATTATTTCAGACTAAGCACATCTGTGAGCAGTGTAGTACAGCACGTGCCTATCTTCCAGCTGTTAAGTAATATGCATTGGTTTAAATTGTGGCCATGGTCAGTCCATACAACCAAGTTAAAAGGACATAGATTTTGATCTGTTCCCATGAGTTTAAAGATTTGATGCAATAGATGCTTAATGGTGACAGCAAATGACTGTTCCTTACTCCCAAAATCAGTGAGTTTTATCATTGACTTACACTGTTTGACTTTGAGGGTTTGACACATTCCATATGCATCAGTTTCTCCTCCTGAAAAGGATATTAATGGCACTCAGCTTTCTCTCAGGACTCTCATGACACTCGCTGGGAACTTCAGACTTTCCCAAAATGAAATCCGCCTGCACAGGTAATGTGCAAAGAATGACTGTAGTCTTCCATCACAGGTCCTACCACCTCCTTTACCCACACCTGCACATTTGAGAGAAATGTGAGCTTAAAGACAGAACAGTCCTGCCACTGAGCTGTAGAGCAGCCTCCAGGTTCAGACCCTCGCCTGAAGTGAATCATGCTCTTGGCACAAGTATCTCGTGTTACCACTTTTGATGACACGTCCTGACATCGTGCTTCAGCTACTGTAATTGGGGAAAGTTTCTCAAAATCTCGTGTCTGCCAACAGTGAAACGAGTTGGAGCAGTACCATTTCCATGGCAGGCAGGGAAGGGAGAACCTGCTTTCCAAATGAGAGTTGTGGCACATGGCCCTCGGCACACAGCAGGAATTCGAACACGAGGTACAATAACACCAGAAACTGTTCCTTACACTTTCCTTCTTCACTTGCTCCTCCTTTCAGCCTCCCATTTGCATCTCCAGTAGATATGAACCTCTCTTGTTTTTAACAGTTTAACAACCTTTGGGATAATTGAATTGATAGGATAAGAAGGATTTAAACAAATCCATTTGGTCCTCTGTTAAGCAGTCAATTGTTCCACAAGGTACAGAACAGTCAATAGTTAAGAAACCAGCTATTTAAATGATACTTGTTTCTGCAGCTGTGCAACATCCCCATTTCCCAGGAGAGCTGTTTCCAGTTGCTGCTCAATGTTTCTAACAATCGAATGGATCAATTCTGAAGATACCTTAAGGCTGTGTGTTAAGTAAGAATGATGTTTGTAGTGTGTGTTGGGTGGGTAAGGAGGTGGTGGGAAAAGAGGCATTTCATTCACCAGAAAAGTTGATGTAATTTCTGTTTTAAACACTGGACATTTATTTAGTCTTTAGAGCCCATACATTATTGAATAATTTTAATTTATCACATCCAAATATATTAGGCAAATATATAATACAATAAATTGCATTTGTACACATAAATACAAAATTTGAGGTAGGGCCTCAAGAATAATGATTTCTGAAATTAACAACACACATAATATGTACTACATGAGATACATGTGATACATTTTTTGTAACAATATATCTTTTGCACATACAGCTAAT